ATTTGATTATGATTATATGTAGTTTATACCTCTAATTGATAGGCAAAATGTATCCACCTTGCTATAACTAAGGAATGCCATCTCAGAAACTGAAATATTGTTATTAACCAGCTAATACTTTACCAACAAGTCTACTACGTAAATGATTATTATTAGTATATGATTACTATTGCTGACACACATATATTTTATCATTTACCTATGATTTCATAATTGCTTAAGACATGATCTGAACTAATATATCGTCATTGTGATTCATGATACACATACACAAACTGATATTTTAATTTCACAAATACAAATTACAAGCATGCATTTATTTCTTTTCTGGGAATTGAATTTTGTTATAAGTTTTGAGAGACCTATTGAACTTACTACCCACCATATTATACATCGCATCTGTATTTTGATATTGTGATAAATTTTGTTTAATCTTTATCTTCATGCCATTTGTAACCACATCGTATCTACATCTCAAGCCCTCACAATTAATGAAATATGATCCACATAATTTTCTTGTGGTAGATCACAAACAACTATGTGACCTTTTAAGAATTATAAAAAATTATGTGGTGTGTTTATAATCATGCATTGGCTCACATGACCTAAAAGTTTCAGCAAGTTTATGTGTAAACATTGGTCTCAAAAAAAAAAAAGAAAAAGAAACAATGAACGCATAAATTAATAAATAGAACTTATACCTACCAACGTCTTCACTGTTTTCTATAGGTTTTTTATAGAATGTCAAGAAGGGTGGAGCTTGATTCCTTACCTACGGCTTAAGCATGTATGTCAGAAGATGATTAAGCTTCTAGCAGGATCGCGCTTCTCTATTTACAAAAGGGTTTCTAGAGTCCAGATTAATTCCTAGGTGATGGGGACATCAGATTTCGACACGTGTACCATCGCCGGAGACGCCGATCGACGGCCATGATTCAAAATCTTTATTTTTTATGATTTATTTTATTCATGTCATTTATATTTCATGTTTTTCCATTTGTACCCCTATGAGGGAGTTAGTGCTTATTGTAGCCCAAGGGCATTGTCGTATTTATGTTTTTTTTTTTTAATTTTCAGATAGCCTATATAAAGGCTTTGTCATTGTATTTGAGAATTGATTGATTGATTGAATGAAATTTCTATTTTGTGATCTCTTTGTGAGTTCTACAACTTTCTAGTTCTCTTAGTGAGTGCTCGGAAGACAACCGGTAGATCTCTTTGTGAGTTCTATTGGTTGACGGATTGAAGATCTTTTGTTCAAATTATTTTATTTTCAAACCCCGATGCATGACTCCACTTAATATTATGCTTCTCTTTTAAATTATTTTTAATATTATACTTATTCAGAGTGATGGTGAAATAGATGGGGATAGTATGTGTAGAATTCAAGTTGGATGCTTGAAGTGGAGTCATGCATCGTGCTTGTTGTGTGATAGAAAAGTCCCCCTCAAACTTAAGGGAAAATTCTATAAAATGATGGTTAGACTTGTAATGTTTTATGGTGCAGAATCCCCCCCCTGGATTTCAGCCGCCGGCCACCCTCGCAACCCTGGCTGCCCACCTTGCCGGTGACCTTCCCCTACCCGGCCAACCCCTCTCTCCACCAATTTCAAATTTGAAATTTGGAATTCAAATTTTAAATTCTTTCCTAATTTGGAATTCCAAATTAGGAAAGTTTCCATGATTGAATCCAATTTCAAATTAATTTAATTTGGAGTTTTTAAATCCTATTTCCACATCAGCAAACCAATTTGGAAACCCATCTCCTCTCTCCCTAACCCCCTCTCTCTCTAGCTATACCGTCGGTCCCCCTCTTGGGCTCCCCATTAATGAGTCAATTAACTCTCTTTCTCTTATTTGAAATCTAAAATTGATTTCAAATAATTTTCCCCCCAATTGCACTAAAATTGAAATTAATTTCAGTTTTATTTCCCTCTCCCCTCTCTCTCTCCACCGTCGGCCTCCCCTATTGGCTCTCCCTTTGAGTGAGCATTAATTCCCCTTTTAATTTGGGATTTCAAAATTAGATCCCAAATATTTTCCCTCCTAAATCCCTTAAACTGAAATTAATTTCAGTTTTCTAACACAAACCTCACCCTCTCACCCTAGCTCTACCGCCGGCCTCCCCTCATCTCTACAACCCGCCGACCCGCTCTCCCTCCCATTGTTGAGCTTCTTATGGCGACCATTCATCTTCACCTCCATGTCGCATGGCGGATCCCGAGCTAGAATGGGGGCTTGTGTTCAACGCCTACGGTAATCTCGACGTTCTACAATCGCCGTTCTTCGACGCGGGATTTGATTCCGACGAAGACACCGTTGGAGCTTACTTGGATCGGATCCTCCCGACCCTCATCCAAGTCATCAACAGACAACGTCCGGACTAGGAGTGGACCATCGACGCCCGACATTCCACGCCACCTCCACATCCTACACCTCCTTCTTCATCACTACGGATCGCTGGCACCGTCTACCTCGGAGTGGTTTCATCCCTTGTGTGGTTCTTCTTCTTCCGACATCCCTAGACATAAACGAGTGAGCTTAAGCCTCAAGGTGAGACAATCGCTTTGTTAACCGCCGGATTCTAGTTGGCTTTTCATCGTCATTACTATTAATTGCCGTCGTTATTTTATTGATCTTGCTAATTTAGCGGTGATAACTTGCCTAGACTTGGTTAAAATCTAAGATCCTTTTTGAAGTATCAATTAAGAGAATCATCAATATTGAACTTTCATTATTTTAACAAACTTTTATTAATTTTCTAATATTCAATTCTTGGTTTCACATCACTAGGTTTTCACAGTGATATGAGAAAACTTGGGTCATCGGAGTACTAAAGACCAATCAGCTATATCATTTAATGTGATAGACTTACTAGTTGTGAATTTCTGCATAAACCACTGAAAAGAACAAAGAAATGAAAAAAAGGTATGTTCCTCATACAAGTTCTGCTAGTTCTGCCCCATTGAGCATATAGACCGCAAAACACAATTTCTCACGTCAGTTGCGTCTACATCCAGTGGCTAGGATTTATGAAGGGAAAATTTGAAGTAACCCTTTAAAAGTGATGTTACGGAAGATATAGCTGGAAAATACTACGATTAAGTGTTGGCAAGGATTTAGTCTTGACCAACTTATAAAAAGGGGCCTGTTTTAAACTTAAATTAGCTTAAGGAGCAGGTTAACAAAAAAATTTAAAGAGGAACAAATACGAAGAAAAGAAGTATGTATTCATAAACTGGAACTTAATTATCCGGTTCACTTGAAACTGGAACTTAATTATCCGGTTTCTATTAAAACCGAAACAATCCGGTTTCAATAGAAACCGGTACTCCTATTCACCGGTTTTAATAAAAAAACTTTTTCCTTAGAAAACCGGTACTCTTATTCACCGGTACTCCTATATAAAATTTTAAATCAAGTTTTTTCACCGGTATTAACTTATTAGTAAATTTTAGATAAATTAAATGTTACTTATTTAGTTAATTATTAATTAAAAAATAAATTAAATATATTTAATTAAAATTTTGAGAATAAAAAGTGGAGGTCTGACGGAGTTCGGCAGAAGTCTGGAATAGATTAATGGAGGTCTGGTCGAGCTCTATATAAATTTAATCAAACAATAATTTTAATTAAAATAAAACTATTATGTATGAATTTCTAGTTTAATTTTATTTACTATTATGTATTAAAATTTTAACTTATTTACTACTTCAAACTAACAACTCATGAGACAATCCAACTAACTTTTTAGTCAAAACTCAAAAGGCTATCATCGGCATACCTTTTGCAAGATAAATTAAGGCGACTCTCTCTAATCTTATCTTCTACTAGAGCTACTCCAACCTTTTCACATATATGCTCATTTCGTATCCAATCTCTAAGGGTAAAGCCACTCATCCACCTGAGCATCCTCATCTTTGTCACACTTAACTTAGTATTATGCTTCTCTTTTAATGGCCAACATTCAGCACCATAAAGCATTGTAAGCCTCACTACCATCTTATAGAATTTTCCCTTAAGTTTGAGGGGTATATTTCTATCACATAAAAACTCTATTTAATTTAATTTTTATAAATATATTGATTAATAAAATCTCTATTTAATTTAATTTTTAATTAAAATTTTAATAAATAAGTAACATTAATTTATCTAAATTTACTAATAAGTTGTAATTTAACAAATAAGCAAAACGTATATTAAATTTTTATTTTCTTTAAAAAATGTAATTCACTTTTAAGTTTTCTAAGAAAATGTTATTTAAAATTTTCTTTTTATTAAAACTGGTGAATAGAGTACCGGTTTCAATAGAATTTATAGAAACCGGAGAAATAAAATCCGATTTCTTGTTAAAGTAGAAACCGGATAATGAAGTTCCGCTTTGAATAGAAACCGAATAATGAAGTCTCAATTTCTATTGAAATCAAATACTTAAGTTCCGTATTTGCTCCTTTTTAAGTTTTTTGTTAACCTACTCCTTAAGCTAATTTAAATTTAAAATAAACTCCTTTTTATAAATTGGCCCTTAGTCTTCCAGGTGAACAAACAGAATATCTTCATAAATGAAACTTCCAAGAAGAGTTGAAAATTGCCACAATAATGATGGCAGACTACATTTACACAGATTTTGTATATGTCCATAAGTTCATGAGAATATGTAATTTCTTTCGGAATATCGATTTCTTTCCATTTAGTTTCCGCAATTTTTTTTTCTATCCTTGATGCTCATGTTGTTATTGTGAAACTTAAAGGTATTATGATATATAGTACGACCTACATGAATGGTAGAAGTCCAAACACTAGATAGTGCTAAAAAGTATTCTGAATGGCTATCAAAAGTTACCTGGTTCAAAGGCCAGGTGCCAGACTTGTTTTACTGATTCTATCTCCCGTTCTTTTGGTGCGTGCAAAACAATTATTATAGAACCCATCACACAAAGAATGCAACCAAGAACACCAAGCGTCCTCAATTTTTCATTCAAAATAAAATGAGCTAGCACTGCACTGTATGAAAGAATTATTTAGCATAGTAGATAAGAAGTACTCAAAAGCTGGCTAGGAAACCAAAACCATTTAATTTCATACCTCACAATAATACTAAGAGCACCTAACGGAGTCACAAGTATCGCTGGAGCAAATGCATAGGCAGCAAAATTCGCTATCTCACCAACAATCACTGCAAAAAAGGGCAAGTAAATCTAATCAAAATACACCTTAAAGGTATTCCTAATTAGGATATAATGAGTTTATTATGTAAGAGTTCCAAATCATCGACTCTACTGGACATTAACTTTGAGAATATAGAATTAAAAAAAAAAAAGAAAATCAGTAGTATGGGGAGCAACACAGAAAGAGAAATGTTCAAGACATTTTATTTGTTTGATTGGTGAACTGGAAAGAGCAGCGTCACTTCAATATCTGGAGCACGCAGCATATTTACATACTTTCTAAATTAAACAAGTTCAAATAAGAATTATGAAATGACAAATGACTTAAATATTAGCATTAAATACTTCCTAAATTAAACAAGTTCAAATAAGCATTATGCAATAACAAATGGCTTAAATATTAACATTAAAAATGCAGACAATACAACTGAATAAAAGAATATAGCAAGGGATATTAAGCACAATAATGAATGTAGAAGAAATGAAAATCTAAAGGATAATTGGGTGATACTAAGACCAAATATTGAGATAATGACGATAAAATTAAGAAAACTTAAGCATGGGATCATGACCAAAATGTAAAGAACAGCTTGCCCTATTATATATTGTACTTGCATAGACCTTACATTGCTTACGTAGAGTTAGTTCTTAGTCGATATATATCAAAGTCAAGAAAGGAACAATGAGAAGCCATGTAATGGATTTTGTACTACTTTACAACAACAACAACATCAAGCCTTTATCCCGCTACCCGCTACGTGGATTTTGCACTACTTTAAATGCATAAAAAAAATCACTCACTACAATTTAGATAATTTGATCTGACATTGTAGGGCTATATTAATGTTGATCTAGGAGGAGACCTGGACACACAAAAAAGTACCACAACGTACATCTTCACCCTAAATGGTGTTACAGTAAGCTTGGTCTAATAACAAAAGATGATAGTTGCACTATGAATCATAGAGGAGACACACATGATAATTACTGAAGCCAACAAAGAGATGGTATGGCTTAAAAGTTTTAAAGAGGAACTAAGAAGAAAACAGAAATGTATTGTACTCTTCTCTGATAATGAAAGCACAAACTTAACAAAGACATCTTCCACTTTAAGACAAAGCACATATAAATAAAGTACCACTTGATTCACAAATGACTAGGAGATGATTTTTTGCAGTTAAACAAAATCAAAGGAGTATAAAATCATCCAATCATACTCACCAAAGTCATTCCCGCAGATAAATTCAGGCCATATGAGGCCTCAACTAACTTCCATGAATGATATTGTGGAGGTGATGAATGATTTTGTGGAGGTAATGCATAAAGAGATATTTGGATATTCCCAGCTAACATATTTACAAAGGCAAGTATTGTCTCTAAGTGGACATTGCAAAAATTATAGAGCCAAATTTCCTTGCTTAGGAGATGGTCATGATTGAGAGAGAGGACAAAGTAGGCTTGCACAAATCCTGTAGTCTTCAATGAGAGTGTGCGACAATAATGATACCTTCTACAAATCTCATCATCATCTTCACAATAAGTAGTTGCATCGTTTTTTTTGTTCATTCAACCACAACAGGTGGTGCCGTCCCTCTTTATTACAACTCAACACCAACAAAAGGACATCATCGTCATTGTGCAAATCAAGTGGATACATCTAGTAACGTGGTAACCCTAAACATCTCCGCGTCATATGAGAAAAATTCTCCGTGTATCTTATTTATTCTTGGGGTAACCCTAAACATCTCCTTGTCATATGAGAAAAATTATCAATGTATCTTATTTATTCTTGTATGACAATGGCTGCAAGGGGCTATCATTAAATCATGTAAAATTTTTGTCTCTATAATTTCTTTCTTTGTTGTGATTGCTCGTATCTTTGTATTTTACTAGTTACCAGAATCTTAATAGACACAAGATAAGTTATGATACAATATATTTGCGGGGATATGTCAAGTATTATGAATGTACGACATTCATCTATCACAATAAGATAGAAAATTATGGACCAAAGCATACATCATTTTTTATGTCTCCCACAAAGGTTGCAATCACCACCATAAATTCATTCTTGTCCTAAGCTTCTATGGTTGTAATCTCTTTGCATTGTTGTCTGTACATTCAATATCATATAATTTTAACTAACTGATGACCCTTTGCAACCCATTCAAAGGCCACCAAATCATATTTAACCAATGTGATTCCTTACGAAGAAACACTTCTTAAAATATCTCTAAGAATAATGAAATCCACCCCATATACAAAGAATGCCTAAATTCATTGTTTGTACAGGTGGAAGTAGGCCTTTGAAATAAATTACTTCTGGATCTATGAATTCCTAAAAAAGAATGTTACAAAGATTTCCAAAGGAAAAGAGAGGAAATGTGATGAGGTCATCGATAGGAGATTTCGGAGCGTCTATCAGAGACGATAACTCCCCATTGCATCACATCAAAATGAGACAAATCTAAAGAAAACAGATTACAGATCCTAGAATGTGGACACAACGAAATATATGATGCACCGTGGCTTTGGAGATATGTCAAACCTTGTAAATGTAGCATTTTTTTGTTCTATGATAGGGGAAAAAATGCATTTATACACTCGCACATAGAAATACACATATCCACATGCATATCAATCAATACATGAATGCTTATGTTGTAAAAACCGGTTTGGTTGGGCCGGTTCAACCGAACCGGCCAACCTTCTCAATAAGACGAGACCCAACAGATGGTCAGTACTGGGCTATTCGCACGAAACAGTGATGGTGGGCGGACAACTGAATTTGCACGAAGGGCTTGTGGAAGATTTCTTTTGTCAATTTTAGCAATCCAACGTGTTTGGAGATAAGATTAAACAACTCCTTTTCATTCCTACCATTCAAAGAGTGATAAATTTGGAAGAAGTTGCAACAAGCGAGAGGAACGACGAGGAAATAGGAAAAAGGTTTGTTTCTCAATTTTTTTTTATAAATTATTTTTCATTTCTTTATCTAATAATTAGAAACACCAAATTGAAGTTAAAGAAAGAGATTTGAAGCAAAGAGAAAGAATTTTGAGGGAGGAAGAAGAATATAGGAATTTTGAGAAAATTCCTATTTGTAAGTAAATTCTCCATGTTATAACTTTAATTAAATTTTGTTAATTAATCATATTTCTTTCATGAAAGTTATATTGTGCAATTTTAGAAATTTTGGAGAGAGATATCAAGATTATAGGAGTTGATCAACCAAGGATTCAACAAGAAAAGGGAATTTGAGATTCGAGGTTGTACCCTATGTCAAAAACTTGGGAGATTCAAAGTAGGTAATTATACTTGTGTAAAATTGTACTATTTATCTTCGTTTCAAATCTGAAATTTATAGTTCCTACAATTGTTTATATTTTATACATGTTTTTCTTTTGAAAATTATTATAGATGAGACAATGGAAAATTCTAATACATTAATTGATATAGAAATTGTATATTTGAAATTGATGAAATACTTTATGCATATGGAAGTTTATAAATATGTGAAAGAAAATATATATAAAAAAATGGAAGGTAAAGTTGAAATGCATATATGATACGTATATACATATAATAATGCAGATACATAAATGTTAAGGAAAACTATATAATATCAATTGAAACGAAGGGAAAAGGAATATCAAATGAAACAAAAGGAAAAAGGATATATATGAAAAGTACAGGAGTTACCCCCGTATGGTACTGGCTGGGGAAGCAATGTAGCCGTGCACGATAAAAAAAAATGGAAATGGAAATGAAAAAGGAAATGGAAATGGATGTACCTTTGGTACATTTAGACAGTGCTCATATACAATTAAATAGAAAAAGGAATGTATATTAAAGTAAATCTTTTAAATATGTAAATGAAGATATTATAATGTGCATAAAAGATCGTATGAAATAAAATGAATAGAAATTAAAGAAAAGTATGTCACTTGTTAAATGAATAGATATACAAAAGAAATTAATTTTATTATAATTTAGATGTTAATTGTTAATGATTACCCACTAAGTTTACTTAGTAAACTCAAACCATGAATTTAAATGACAACATGTAATTTATTATTTGTGTATTAGTGGCTCTTCAGTAAGATAGAGAAAATTATACATTATATTGGTTATGAATTGAATGAATTATTTCTACCGTCCGACTTTTAGCTCCCACCTCGTTAAATCGAGCATCCGGGTCGGGTCGTGATATATGTACACAGTATACTTTTTCTAGTTACAAAGCAATGCATTCATGTAAAGTAGAGAAATAGAGATAATATAAAGTAATTACTCAATAAAAGGTACATCATATAGTCTTCATTTGTCTAAATCTAAAATGTTTGCTTATTCCTTTAAATTTATTAACAAGAATTAGTTGTTAGTGTATTTGTTATTGCATCCAGCTTTTTTTTTAGATTTAAATAAGACGCATTAAATAGCACATTTGAAATGATATTGGTAAATTATGAGAGTACATATGTATCTAAGGACTATAGCACTCCATTTACGATATTTTCCTTCATGCTAATATTATTATCATATTCTTCAACAATGCTAGACCAATAGTACAAAGTTTGGCTTTTTAAATGCTTCAACACATTGCTTGTGATTTGATGGCTCTTTAAACAGATGTCATTATATGGTTAAATGTTTTGGCCTTTAAATAATCGTGCATCTATTGGGAAAAGGACATGTTTTTCCACTACCACGTCGTCACCCACACCCCACCCCCAACATCAGGCCCCTCCCACCCCACAACACACAGTCACACACTTTTTTTTTTACATTTTCAAAGTAGACATGAATCTTAGGGCATCTCCAACCGAAAAAATCATTTTTCATTCCAAAATGCAGTGATACACCAAAATGCAGTAAAATATTTGCAACGGAACTCCATTTTTCAATACAAAAAAAGAATATTCCTAGTATATTCTTTCTCATACTTCATTTTATATATTTTTAATCATAAATTTTATTTATCAAAATTTTGAATTAAATATATTATAATTATTATAAAAATATTTTTTTGCTTCATAAAATAATTTGGAATATTAATATGTCCTAAATAAACAAATATTTAGTTAATAAAATAATAATTACATTAGAACACATAAATAGGAACGAGAACAATACAATGCCAACTAAACATTAGAATTAGTATATTGATCTCACAAATGATCAATCAATATATTTCGCAGTGCAACGTGGGCATCTTTATTTTTTATTTTTGTATGGCAAGAGATAAATTCCTGAAACTGAATATTTTCATCCATCATTTTTTCGCCCTTCGTGGGTGACGCTTCTCTTGCAACTTGAACTAGTCCAGTGAGAGTGCGTTCATCTTCAATTATTATATTATGCAAAATTATGCATGTAATCATTATATTATGAAGTACATCTTTGCTCCAAAAATATAGATGTCATGTCATAATTGCGAAATGAGATTAAAAAGTTCTAAAAGTACGTTATACGTCTTTTCTATATGATTCCTATTTCATTGCAAAATATTATTTCTTTGAAGTATAGGTTGACCATATCGGATATATATTATCAGTCAAATAATAATCTATGTTATATTTTTTTTCTTGAATGACGTAATGACATAGATGAGTTATATATTGAGTGGGATTAAAAAATATGAGGGAATACTCCAACACGTTTATATCATTATTAGTACCTGACATACCAAAGTAAATATGTCATATCCAAATATCACAATCTGCCATGGCTTCCAAAATAATTATAGATGATTCAGTGCATCCCGCGTATTGCCCAGCCCACACGGTAGAATAATTTTTTTTATTTTCAATGCATATAATCTAAATTGTTCAACATTCCTAAAAAATCACGCTGTTCATTAATGTTAAGAAGTCTAGTCACATCATTGATTGTTAGTGATCTTAAATATTGTTCTACAAATATTTGGACTATTGTTCTACAAAATTTCTTCACACTTTTGACTTTTGTTGATTCGTCTATTCTGTAGCATCTACGGGTAATCCATATGCTAACATTCGAAGGACGACTGTTACTTTATGGAGGGGTGATAAATCAAGCTTACCGGTCCGATCCACTCGTTGGTGGAAGTAGATATCATGTGTTTTTACTGTGTCAGGACGCGCATGAACAATGTTCGAGACATTCGATATATCCGTTGAAACATTGTATCATACACTGGAATACTTGATAAGTAATCTTGATAAAGTCGACGATCTACAGCCTCGCAATCACGGTTAATAAAAGCATGTCCTATAACTGAGTCTCCCATAGAGGCGTGGTCAATAGATTATGTGAGCAGAAAATTGGATCATCAAATTGTTATTTGTTATTATTTGTTATTGTACGACGAAGCATTGATTCCTCTTCCTATAAACTATTTATCATTTAGAGTGTCTTCTTCATCTGAGGAAGAAGAAGATGAAAATATTTTATGCATATTGATAATGTAATGTTAAGATGATTTGAAATTCTGTTATTTATAGGGGAAATACAGTGATTGATTACATCTGGTCCATGCTTCTTAAGAGGTGTAAGAATCTCATAGGACACATTATAGTGACTGATCACATTCGGTCCATGCGTATTGAGAGGAGTGAGAATCTCATAGAACATATTATAGTAATTGGTCACATTTGGTTCATGTGATTCTCACACTTTGCAATAAGCATGGGCCGAATGTGACCAGTCACTGCAATGTGTCTTATGAGATTCTCATGCCTCTTAAGAAGCATGAACCGAAAGTGATCATTCACTACAATGTGTCCTATGAGATTTTCAGACCTCTCAAGAAGCGTGGACTAAATGTGACCAATCACTGCACTTCCCTTATAAATAGCTAATTTTCAAATCATCTTAACATCATATTATTAATATGCATAAAACTTTTTCATCTTTTTCTTCCTCGGATGAAGAAAACACACTCCAAATGATAAATAATTTACAGGAATAGGAATTAATATTTCATCATGCAATAACAAATAACAATTTTATGATCTAATTCCTTCTTACACGATATATTAACCACATCTCTACGGGAGGTTCAGTTATAGAGCGTGATTTTATGAACCATGATCGGGAGGCCGCAAATCGTCGACTTTATCAAGATTACCTTTTTAAGTAATTAAGTATACAATGATACAATGTTTCGACCGAGATATCAAATGTCTCGAACATTGTTCATGTATGTTTTTGAGGAAGTAAAAACACATGATATCTACTTTCACCAATGAGTGGATCGCACCGATAAGCTTGATTTATCATTCTTCCAGAAAGTAACAGTCATTATTCAAATGTTAGCATATGGATTACCCGCAGATGCTATAAACGAGTATATTAGAATAGGCGAATCAAGAATAGTCGAAAGTGTGAAGAAATTTTATAGATCAGTAGTTTAAATATTAAATATTCTCAAAGCAATATTTAAGATCACCAACAATTAATAATGTGATTAGACTTCTTAAAATTAATGAACAACATAATTTTTCAAAAATGTTGGGCAGTTTAGATTGTATGCATTGGAAGTGAAAAAATTATCATACCGGGTGGGTTGGGCAATACGCGAGACATACTTGATCATATACAATTATTTTGGAAGCTGTGATAGATTATGATCTTTGTATATGGCATACTTATTTTGATATTTCATACACTAATAATGATATAAACGTGTTGGAGTCTTCGCACATATTCTCTAATCTCACTCAATGCATAGCTCCTCCCTGTTAATACATCAATCAAGGAAAAGAATATAACATGGATTATTATTTGGTTGATAATATATATTCGAAATAATTAATCATCGTGTAAACAATTCAAAAATCATGTACTCCAAAGAAATAATATTTTGCAATGAAACAGAAAGCATGTAGAAAAGACGTAGAACGTGCTTTTGAAACTCTTCAATCATGTTTCGCAATTGTGGCAGAACCTGCATGTTTTTTTAGCAAAGATATACTGCATGATGTAAAGAATACATATATAATTTTGCATAATATGATAATCTAAGATAAACGCAATCTCACTGGATCAGTTCAAGTTGCGAGAGAAGCATCACCCCAGAGATCGAAAAGGTGATGGATGAAAATACTCAGTTTCAGGAATTTATCGCTTGCCATAAAAAAATCAGAAATAAAAATGCTCACATTGCACTGTGAAATGCATTGATTGATCATTTGTGATATCAATATATTAATTATAATGTTTAGTTGCCCTTGTATTGTTCTCATTCATATTTATGTGTTATAATGTTAAGTGGCTCGTAAGGATTCTAAGAAAGCAATAGGAAGAAAATGTAATGAAACTATATTTCCATATATAGGTTTTAATCAGATTGATGCATACTTCAAAATGTTTCTAAAATTATAACAATACAAAAGCTTAGCTCATAAAATGGTTTAGCATGAATGCATGTGTACATGTATGATAGATCAAAAGCATTAAGAGTGTTAATGAAGTTTATGATTGTAGGAAATACAAACATATATAAAGAAAAATGATTGATTCTGCTATATACAATCATCATTAATTGGCCTCATCCAAATTAATTGGGGTAAGCTTTATAAACATTTCCCCTTCATTTGTTTCTATCAAGCGTCACATGCAGTGTTAAGTGCTAACTTTAAATTATGCAAATCATCATTCACAATTAATAATCAAACTACCTTCTATCTATCCATTTTCCCTTTTTTTTTTATTATCTCTTTCTCTCCATATGCCTTTAGATAGATTTTATCTGCCAACATGACCTTTTGCGCTCCACACTAGGTGCCCTAAACACATTGTCAATCTTCTCATCTACGGAGTTGGGAGTTGTTTTAGAACTTTGCTTGATTGGATACAAGCATTTAGTCTTTTGACTTCGGGTGGATTATTAGTTCAAGCCGCCCATGGTAATCCATGTGAAAACGTTATATTTCAAATTCATTCCGTGAGGTTTGGAGATCAATCAAACCCTTATCCCCAAACTAAGAATATGAAAATTTCCTTAACAACAATATTACCGAAAAGTTTGAATATGATGGTGCGGATATATTTGCCCTACAAAATGACATTTTAGAAATACCGCAAGTCTTTATGGAATACTAGATATTGAGTTTGTAAGTTGTTGCTACTACCCTCATTTTCTTAATTTACTTACTTGTTATCATGCCAACCCACCACAATGGCTCCTGCAAGTATGAGAATCCTCCCAAAGCTGAAACAGAGAAAAGCAACAACAAAATACCGTGAATAAAAACTCAACATAGTTAACCAAAACCCGAAAAAAAAAATCCCAACAACACAGAATCACTCCATTTCAAAAGTAGGAACCTACCTGCTCTTACTCCATAAGTGCCGGCTTTCTTAAGCCCCTTCTTCTTCACAATAAAACTGGTACCGATGAAAAAACTCGAGGACAGGGCAAGGACAAAGCCTCGGAAGTTATCGGCGGACATCCCCATGTATGGAGCTCGCTGCACATAAACCCTATTCCTCTCTGCGAAACATTCCCAGATGCCCAAATTAGAAATCAATGAAGGAAACTTACAAAGACTACAAAGAGAAAATCGTCTTCTCCCGCTCTCTCAAACTCACTCACTTTCTTCTCACGAATATCAAAAGAATAAGCGATCCTTTACCCCGGCGAGGTCGCCGGTCGAAAAGAGAAGGAGAAGGAGAAGGAGAAGGAGAAAGCAAGATTGGAAACACCATTTCCGTTTAAACTTATAAGATGGCTGTCCGGCGATACCAGCTCTACCTTTTCAGATGGCTGTCTTGAATACTCCTTCGCAGCACTTTATTATCGTGCTCCACTGCATTGGAACAAATGATTTTTTTTGAGAGCCGGATGCAAGGCTTGTCGAAGGTCAAGACTCGTCTTCACCTTATCGTGCACCGAAGGTACATGACAACGGAAGGTTAAAAAACTTTCAAATGCCGGATTCTGGGGGGCCGAAACTGATACGAAATGCGATATTTTTCCTGGCCGTTAAGGCTGTCTAATTAGCGACCGGATTACTTGCGGCTCAGATTTAATGATAGAACGGTAGGGTAGTCGGGCCGCCCGTTTCTATTATTTTTTTTATAAAAAAAAATTTAGCCAAATAATAAGAAAGTCATCCTAAATGAAGTCTTAAGCTCCGTTTGGGACGGCTTTCTTATTGTTTATTAAAGCAATTTTTTAGTAAGAAAGCCGTTCCAAATGAAGTCTTAAGCTTCGTTTTGAGACAGCTTTCTTCCTGCTTCTTAAAATAACTTTTTAGTACAAAAATTAAAAATTTGTACTAAAAAACTGCTTGTAGAAGCAGTAAAAAGGTCATCCCAAACCAAGCCTTAGTGTCAAGCTTCCTTTGGGATTTCTCACCGCTTTGTTTTTAGGTCGTAATCATAATTTATGTTTAGCAATTATTTTTCCATAACTTCAAAAAAAATGTACTAAAAAACTATTTTTTACAGCAAGTTTGAACATTTAGTATCTTTACAGTAGTTTATATAACAGTAAGAAAGATGTTCCAAATGAAACCTCAGACAAATTGATATATAAGACTCTCGTCAAGTAGACTATCATAGTCCAAAAACTCGTCTCAATTGGCAAAAAAAACTTATTAGCTGACAAACTCTAAATTTTATTTTAAGATTAAACGTCTCTCTTTCTTTGTCATATTTCAATAATTCATTCCAAAGAAGATATGAATTATCATTTATTAGACAAATTTGAATCCAACAACGAACTTTTCCTAACAATCATTGATTGCTATGCAATTATCTGTGGCAATTTTGTCGTTCAATTCAACCCTATATGAGAAGCTCTAAAATTATCAATATTAGCTTCTTAAGCTTGCAAAACTTCACGAGGGGCCCGACTTGTGAATTCATAGGCCGGGTGGGCTGACCAAATTCATCTTTGAGCGACATAAGCAAAAAAAACGGATTCAAATTAGTTTTTTTTTGGAAAAATGAATGCTGGAATTCTGCCACAATGATTTTTTTATTCTTTTCCAGCAAGTGTGCTACCTATGGGTGTAACTAAGTCAAGCCGACTCGTAAGCCGATTTGGGCTCAACTCGTTAACAGGCTCGACGAGTCGGGCTTTCGAGCTCAACGGCTTATCGAGCTCGAGTTTGAACAACACATCGCTCGACTTGCGAGCTCATTAAGTAGCTCACAAACGGATGCGGAGTACCGTGGGTTGGAATTTCAGCATGCATGAAATCGTGGGCAGAAGTGCCGCTGACATGCGGAAATTTCCGCGGGCAGGAAATCGCAAACAGAACTTCAGCGGTCGGAGATTTCAACAAGCAGGAAATCACGGGCAGATGTTTCGCGACAGGGAAGTTTCGCGGTTGAGAATTTCTGCGGGAAGATGTTTCGCATGTGGGAAGTTTCGTGGGCGGAAAGTTTTGTTGGGCGTCCTCGAAGCCACGTGGTTGTTTCATATAGACTTCATCTTCTAATTCGCCGTGGAGAAAGGCGTTCGAAACATCCAATTGAGTGACTTTCCAGTTGCGGTTGAGAGCCACCGTGATTAACATCCGGATGGTAACCATTTTTGCCACCGGACTGAACGTCTCGGTGAAGTTAATGCCGAATTCTTGTGCACAACCTTGTGCAACGAGGCGGGCTTTGTAGCGCTCCACTTGGCCGTTCGGGTAGAGTTTTGTTTTGAAGGTCCATTTGCTGCCCAGTATTGGTTTGTCCGCGGGTGGTGGGACTAAGAGCCATGTACCCTGTTTGATCAAAGCTAGAAACTCGGCGGACATAGCCGAGCTCCATTCCGCGTGTTTGGATGCTTCTGCATATGAGGTAGGAGTCTTAGTCTTGATGGTAGTAGCGGAGAGATCCAAGATCTGCCTTGGTTTTGAGATGCCCGATCGCAGGCGAGTCTGCATGGGATGACGAATAGGCTCGGTGGAAGGGAGTTGAGTCGGATGCGTGATTTCATGAGTCGGTGCTGAAGAGACCCTGCTAGCACGTTGAGGTGAGGCAGTCGGCAGGTGTGAGGAGGATTGCGGCCTGTGTTGAACCGTGGACGACGGAACTAGCAGCAGAGGCGACAAATATTCCGGATTATTTGTAGTAGGCGTATCCAAGGTGATCTGAGTTGTTTTATACGGAAATTGGTTCTCAAAGAATATGACATTCCGGGAGGTGTAGACACGATCTTGTAAAATGTTGTAACAATTGTATCCCTTGTGTGCTGCAGAGTAGCCGATGAACACACATTCTTGAGATCGAGGCGACAGTTTATTAGGGGCATACGGCTTGGTCCAAGGAAAACATAAAAATCCAAAAATTCGAAGGTGTGCGTATGACGCAGGACTCCCGTTCAGCTTATGATAGGGAGTTTGGTTTTGAATGACGGATGAGGGTAGCCGATTTATAAGATACACGGCTGTTGTGGTGGCTTCGGCCCAAAACGAGAGGGGGAGATTGGCACTGTGAAGAAGTGTTCGCGTCATTTCTATTATGTGACGATGTTTCCTCTCGGCGATCCCGTTCTGCTCTGGGGTATGAGGACAGCTCATTTGATGTGTTATCCCATTTGCAGCCAAATAGTTTCGAAAACTATGGCTTTTTTACTCGCCGCCGCCGTCGGAGCGAAGAATCAGAATCTTAGTTTTGAACTGGTTATTGATTAGATTGCAAAAGAATTGAAACTTGCTAAACACTTCATCTTTGGATTTGAGCAAAAATAGCCATGTAAATCTAGTACAATCGTCAATGAAAGTGACGTAGTAGCGGTAACCAAATTTAGAAAGACAAGGAGCAGGCCCCCAAATGTCCGAATGAACAATTTGGAAGGGCTTATTACAAATAGAATTACTGACAGGGAAGGGTTGTTTGTGCATTTTAGAGGTGTTACAAGAAATGCAAGTGGTGTTAGTAGAAAAATTGTCTACATCTGCAATGGATTTCGCAAGAATGCTGATCTTGCGGCTGTGAGGATGTCCTAAGCGTTCGTGCCAGAGGTTCTTCGGACGCATGGTAGATGCCAGGGCCGCTTCATTATGCTTGGTAGGGAGCCTGATGTGGTACAGCCCATTGCGCTTGGGTCCCCGAAGAAGCACCTGATTGTCCTGAAGGCTCTTTATAACGAATTCGTTAGCGGTAAAAGAAATTGACACATTGTTGTCGGAGGTAAGGCTAGAAACCGAAAGAAGATTATGTTTTAAATTAGGAACATGTAAAATTTTTCGTAGATAGAGCTTACGAGTGTGCTTGGGTAACGGCAAGATGCCTTGACCCGAGTTCTGAATGGAAAGATTGCTTCCGTTGGCGATGGATACCGAGTCATAGCCGGCGTAAGGGACCGAATGCTGAAGATTTGTGGCATCTGCGGTGAGGTGGGAGGAGGCACCCGAGTCCAAGATCCAGTCATGCGTATTGACTTGTTATTGTTGTGCCGTGAGCGCCCGCGAATTCGTCGGTGGTGCGTAATTGAGGTTGCATCTGTGCCAGCAGTTGATAGCCGCGTGGCCGAGCTTGCCGCAAATCTGACAAGTGGGACGTTGAGTGGGGGGTCGAACAGACGATGATACTTCGCCTGGCTGCATTTGTCTTTCGTTCGTCTGTTGTCTTGGAAATGGACCCTTGCCTCTCGGCTTTTTCCCTCTGTAGTTGCGATTAGAGAATAGCGCCATGGACTCAGTTTGTTGAATCTGGTCTTTGAGATTCTGCTGCTGAAGGATGATTTCTTCACTGCTGAGAAGTGAATAAAGATCGTCCAGGTGGATGGGTTGCATCGATGTTCTGATGGCCGTCTTGAAAGAATTGTAGGCAGAGGGCAACCCGTTCAAAATGTAGAGAACAATGTCTTCCGTATCAACGGTGGAGCCGGCGGCCGCGATGTTGTCTACAATTGTCTTGATTTGATCAAGATATTGTCCCATGGTGCGATCTCTCATCTGGATTTGATGTAGCTCATTCTTGAGCTGAATTACGCGCGATCGGTTGGTGGGTTGAAGTCTTCGTTCTAGAGCAGTCCAGACTTCGTGGGCGGATCCAAGATTGATAACGTATGGTAGAATCGGTGGAGAAATGGTTGCAAGAATGGCCGAAACAAGATTGCGATCAACCAGCTTCCATCGATTTTGTTCCTGAAGAGTCGAGTTCGGTGAGCTGACAGCTTGGCCGGTGAGATGTGCTTCGTATCCATTGGCGGCGAAGTGCTGAGACAGTTGCAGTCGCCATATGGAATAATTGTCGGAGGTGAGAGGATTTGGGACCATATTCTTGACGTTTGAGATCAAGAATTTTAGCTGGGGGGGATGAGGAGATCGGAACCTTGATTTGAGGTGGTGGACATGTTTCTGTCTTCCGCTCCGGATCGGCGTGATCCGGCGTCTTCTTCGTCCGCCATGATCCTAGCAACCGCTGGACAGACAAGCGCGAGGGGGACGAACCAAGATCGAGGCGGTAGAGCTTAGAAGCTCTGATACCATGAGAAATTCCTTCACTGGCTGAAGGAGAGAACCGGAGGAGAGGAGGAAGAGAACGCAAGAAACAGAGAGATAACGGAGATAATGAAATTCATTAATTAACAGACTATTACAGATAGAGTAATATATAGACAAGTTTACAACCAAGAAGGTACAAATGCTGACGTGGCAAGAGACACTAAACCGTTGGTACTTAACACGGTAGGGTAGTCGGGCCGACCGTTTCTATTATTTTTTTATAAAAAATTACAAAACAATTTAGCCAAATAATAATAAAG